GTAGCAGAAAACCACTGGCCTGGGAGACAGGAGACCTGGTATTTACTCTGGCATGGCACTAATTAGCCCCATAACTTTAAAGAAAACCCAGGCAGAGCCCACCTCTCTGGGCTCAGACTCCAAATTTGGTAAATTGAGAGACTGATCTAGATGATTTCAAAATTTCATTTTAGATGTAGCATTGACATTCAAAGTGGACAGAGATGTTTATGCTCATTTTTTTTAGAATAGGAAACAGGTCCAGATTAATTAAGTGACTTTCCGAAGATCACACCAATAGTCAAAGGATCTGAACTGAAACAGGTCTCTTTACCTCGTGCCTTCCCACCAGAAAGCGGCAATGCTCTCCTGAGATCCCCCTGTGTTATAGGAAATTCCAAACACAAAGTGGGGAAACAGGCAATTAAAAACCAAAACCAGGCGGGGCACAGTGGCTCATGTCTATAATCCTAGCACTCTGGGAGGCCCACACAGGCTGATCGCTCAAGGTCAGGAGTTTGAAACCAGCCTAAGCAAGAGCGAGACCACTAAAATTAAAAAGAAATTAATTGGATAACTAAAAATATATAGAAAAAATTAGCGGGGCATGGTGGAACGTGCCTGTAGTCCCAGCTACTTGGGAGGCTGAGGCAGTAGGATTGCTTGAGCCCAGGAGTTTGAGGTTGCTGTGAGCTAGGCTGACACCACGGCATTCACTCTAGCCTGGGCAACAAAGTGAGACTCTGTGTCAAACAAACAAACAAACAAAAACCCAAAACCAAACCAAACAAACAAAAAAATCAGGATATACACTCTTACAGTCTTAAAGCATCCTCTAAATGGCCCAACGGGCTTATTTTTTGGCATTTTCCTTCTCATGTTTGTTCATCTTTCTATGTTGGGTCCCTTCTCCTTCCTTCCTTTTTCTTAGTAGGCTCTAAATGTTTTTCTTGCTGTTTAACCACTCATCTCCTCTTTCCTAAGCTTCAAGTTAAAAATAAAGGCCTTCGTGCTGCTACCAGGTGTTTTTGCCTGGGTTTCACACCTGAAGTTGGACTGCTTTTCTTTCTCATCCCTTAAAAGCCTCACTTTCTGTAATGTAATGGTTCTGAAACTTGGATGTCCATTCAGAATCACCTAGAAGGTTTGATAAAAGACAAAACAAAACAAAAAATAGATTGCCGGGCCTCACCCTACAGTTTCTGAGTCAGTAGGATTGGGGGGAGGCTCAAGATTTTGAAAATCTCATAAGCTCTCAGGTGATGCAGGTATTGCTGGTCCAGGGATCACTGCTCTAAAGAAAGAGTTCAAAACTGCCGCCTTCATGTTCCTACCATCACAGCTCAGTGCCAATGGAAAGTCAGCCACAAATGGCCCTTGCTCTAAAGAGACCTTTTTGCTTTTAATCGGAAACAAAAAATTTCCATCTGGGGAAAACCTCACCCAAAAGTGATTTGCTTTGATTGTGCTGATTGACAAACATCATTTTCATGGCACATTATTAATTCCAAAGCTAATGAATATATTGGAACTTCAATAATGAACCAGTGATGGCATGAATAACCACAGACTTGTTTATGAGAGATGACATCTAGGAAAGTTTCCTGTGACATTTTTCTACTCTCTGATCAAGAATACTCCTTGTGGTTAGGTTTATAGTTTGCATTCAAATCACTTGGGAATGAAGTGAGCTTAGAGGGAGTCTGCATGGTATATGGACAAGCATCAGTCTGGGAAGCAGAGAAACTGAGGTTTAGTCCTAGCTCTGCCACTGACTAGTTGAATGACTTTGGCCAGTTTATTTTCCTCTCTGGGCCTTAGACTTACATTTGTAAAAAGAATTTATTGGAAGTATATGTTGGATGCAGATTTTCAAAGGTAGGGCTGGTTTAGAAGAAAACAACCCAACAAAATAGTTCAACAGCAAAATATGTTCGGGAATCATTCCATTCTATGTGCCTTTATTAGAATGTCACAATGTACCTTGGCATATGCCTTAGACCGTTTTGTGCTGCTATAACAAAATACCACAGACTGGATAATTTATAATGAACAGAAATTTATTAGCTCACTGTTCTAGAGGCTCAGAAGTCCAATGATAGGCCATATGCAAGCTGGATATCAAGGGACATTGGTAGCATGGTTCAGTCCAAGTGCAAAAGCCTCGGAATGGAAGCTGATGGCATATCTCACCGTCTGAAGCCAAGAGCCTAAAAACCCAGGACAGGCAGCATCTTGTAAGGACCTTCTTGCTGCATCATCCCATGGTGGAAGAAAGAAGAGCAAGAGAGGGTGAGAGAAAGAGACAACAGGGCATCAGACTTGTCTTTTTATGAGTAACCCATTCTTGTGATAATAAACCCACTCCCAGGATAATGGCATTAATCCATTCATGAGGGTGGTGCCCCCATGACCCAAACACCTCCAATTAGGCCCCACCTCCCAACACTGCTGCACTGGGGATCAAGTTTCCAACACATGAACTTTGGAGGACACATTCAAACCACAGCAGCACATTATAAAGGCTCTGAAAATTCCTGCAGTAACACAACATTTTCATGTTGTTTAATTCAATAATTCTCAAAAATATGTGACCAGGGCACACATTTTTATGCTATTAACACCTGGTAGGCCAGCACTCCAAAGGCACCAATCATCTCTGGGTGATCTATGAAGGTCCTTCCAATATGAAATGCACTGGGTCTAGGCTCTGGCTCTCAAGAATTGCACCTGACATTACAGAGATTGGGGAATACCTGTGATTGGGGAAAGCAGACAAACATACCACCAATCCAGAGTTCTCTTAGTGTCTGGAATTTAGGCAAAACCACCTGTAAGCATGAGCATGTCCCCACAGTCAGGACTATGTGTAGGGCGGGTTTTCAAGTGTCAAAATGCTGCACTTGCTTTCGGGGACTTTTTGGAAGGGCCTCAGGCTCACACTTCAGCTAGGTGCCAAGGAAGGGCTGAGGTAGTTCTTCCTGGTAATCTGCTTTATCTGTGTGGCCTTATCTAAAGTACCTGGGGTTTTGTCACTCACTCTCCACCTTTGCTGTGGTTTCTGCCTGTTTCCATGAGTCCCTCCACCCCATGCAGCTTCAATTTCCTTACTGCTTCTTCATGAGTGGCTCTGACATTTCCTCTAATTGATATCCTAATAGCCCCACCATGTCTACTGGTCACAGCTGTAGTTTGAAATGCCAGAGGGGGGGACCTCACATTGTATAGTGTTCTAAAACTACACATTACTTTTCAATGCAGTGTCTCATAATATTCTTTCAACTTTGTGAGGTATTGTTATTAAGGTATGTTTGAGAGATAAGGAAACTGATGCCCAGAGTGAGCTAGTGATCTGCTTAAGATTATAGTCAGTGAGTAGCAGAGCTACAAATTGATCCCAAATCCTTTTACGAGAAAGCTCATGTTTTCTTCTTTGAGGACATCTGTAGAAAGCATTTTGCTTACTTGCATGGATTCATTGGCAGTTGATGCATGAAGCTCTATACGGATTGGGAGGCCAGGACTGTAGTCAGCCAGAAAAATAAAGGTATTGTGATCAACTGGCTCTGAATACCATTTGGAGCAGAAGCCAGAGGGGCATGGAAAAGTGGTCTATATTTGTGGCCCCTGAGACACGCAAAACTTTACATCTTGTCTTGTTGATATGGTGTCAATCACTTTTAAACCTTCTGAAATTATGACACCCAAAACTAGTATTCATTTTTCCCTGAGGCTTAAATTAATAGACTATTGGAGGCGAAAAGAATTCCTTAGATAACTTACTTCAATATCTAGAACTGCGCTGCCCAATATGGTGGCCGCTGGTCACACATCACTCTAGAGTACTTAAAATGGGGCTAGTCTAAATTGTGGTGTGTTGTAAGTATAAAATAATACCAGGTTTAAAGGCTCAGTATAAAGAAAAGAAGGTAAACTATCACAATAATTATTTCTATAGATTATATATTGGATGATAATATTTGGGGTATATTCAGTTAAATAAAATATGCCATTAAAATTAATTTCATCTGTTTCTTTTTAATAATTTGAAAAGTATCTACCAGAATAGTTATAATTTTATATGTAGTTAACACTATATATTTTCACTGAATAGTGGCACCTGCCATTTTTTTTAGCTTAATAGACATTTATTCCTTTCATTAAACAACGTCTACACAAAATCCAAATTAATTTTTTTTTTTAGAAAGTAATTTAGGTCTTAGGTCTCAAATTTTATGAGCCTATTAATATTTTCTGGACATCGATTAACTGAACCTTTTGAAACCCCTAGAGAAAAATTGGTTCAGGAAAACCATCAATTGAATTTTGAAATCAAATTACTCTTAAGTCAGAAAACTCAGAATTTGGAAAAAATGGAGCAACTCTTCTTCTGTATTTCCTTCACACTCAAATTTACCCTGGGAAACATTAGCCTAGTCCACTGAACACATGAAACATAAATGTGGTAGGATGCTTAAAGTTAAGGTTCCCTTAAAGTTAACTGATGGCCCAACTTTGTGAAAGGCTAAGGATTTTCAGGGTATTTTGATCAGAAACAAACTGCAGATATGTAAGGTTAGATTGGAAACCATGAATTTACATTGACACCAACTATGTATGACTCTTCCCTGCCTGTAACCTTATGGATTGGGTTGACCCAAGATGATTTGTTAAGAATGGACTGAGAATGACATATTTTTAAGCAGCCAACTATACTTTTACCCCTCATGTGGCTAGAGGTTTTATAATGGTCACAAGTTAGTATTACAGGTAAGTATTTAAAAATCTTGAATAAAGGTGACTTTAATTTTCTCACCTCACATTTGAAATGTATTTACCTAATGGCCACTGGCTTGCCAGCTTACAAACATAAGGTTAATGATTCTTATTTGCCTAACATTCAATTTCCATCAGTTTCAAAATACAGTGTAAATATCACTACTGTCTATATGTATAGAATCCAGGACTCCAGATTTCATGGAGCCATGGGATTGAATCAGGAGCAGCTTTTATCTCTTATGTTAATTTAAAATGGTACAATGAAGACTGAGGCAATTTTTAGGTTAACCCAGAGGTTTCATTCGTAAGATAAGCCTCTTGCAACAAGTATATCCAGTTCCAAAATATGGTGGCATTTTAAACTTTTCTTTCAGAAACAAATGGAACACTGGACTAAATCTGAAGACGTGGGCTCTACACGAGCTCATATTTTTCTATGTGACCACAACATAGGGTTAGGATATCCTCCTCCTACCCTAAAAATTTCTAAACAAAACCCAATTAAAAAGCCAGCAGAGCATTGCCATCATCCCAGTAAAGCTGTAGGTTTCACCACATGCACCAAACAAATCTACAGGGTAGTTGTAGCACTCCTCTTTTAAAGAATTTATTTTACACCTATTATACCACACAGCATGTTTTAAACACCCACATAAAACTCTCTAATAAGATAAAGCAAAGACAAAAAAAGCTTATCTTATTAGAGACAAGATACACCATCACTTATAGTCTTCAAACATTATTGCACTTTTAACTTCATATTTGACAAAGCATTCATGAAACAATCTGCAGACTAGTTTAACAGACAAATAACACCTTTAAGCAGACATGACCATCCTAAATTGTTTATTAGGTATGAATTTTACAAACATTACTTATTAGCAGTAACGGTGAAGCTGGAGAGTATTGCGCCTTCTCCAAGCTGCACGGCGAGAACCACCAATAGTGTGGTGGAACTTGTGGCCCTTTCCAAGGCCACGGCTCTTGCGGCCTGCAGATGTCAGCCCACGCATCTCCCTGTGCTTGTGGACCGGTTTCGTGATCCACTGGGTATCGGGATTTCTTCTGATAGCTTTATGGAATGGATCAATGAGGATAACCTCAAAAAATTTGTACGTGGAATCTTCACCAACCCAGTAAGATTTCAGGACTCTTAGAGCCCCACAGTGGCGTCCAGCTCGCCCCTCGGCAACAGATTGAAGGCTTCAAGCAAACTTTAGCTGGTTAACACCATGATGGACAGGCTTGCCATAAGTTGCACCCTTAGGAACTGGGCGTTTGCGGCCACCACGGCGCACACGAATCCTATATATGACATAACCTTGCTTGGCCTTGTATCCCAGTCTGCGTGCTTTATCCTGTCGGGTGGGGCGGGGAGCCCTGTGGAGCGCAGAGAGCTGCGGGTATTGCCAGCAGCGGACCCTCAGAAGAACGCGCATTCCATCAGACTGCTTCTTCCTCCACAGCTCCTGGATATACTTGTATGCACCCATCTTGGCTTACCTGATGGCTGACGCCAGACGGAAAAAAAGCTGCCATTTGTTTTTGAGAGTAAAGTTTTATTGGGAAATAGGCATGCCTGCTCATTTATGCATTTTCTATAGTCGTTTCATGCTATAATCGTAGAGTTGAGTAGTTGTGACAGATCGTATGTCCCACAAAGCCAAAATATTTACTATATGGACCTTTATGAAATAAAGTTTGGAGCCACCGATCTAGAATCACAATTTTTTTTTGTATCTTTATTATTTGCCAGGTACCATGTTAAGCTCATCATATACATGATTTCATTTAATCCATGGCAACTACCCTGAGAGAGGTACTATTATTTTCCCCATTTCGGATGAGAAAATTGAGACTCTAAGTAACCCAACCAAGTCCACATATGTAGTAAATTCCAAGAGCACTCCTTCAAACTCAGCTTCTGTCTGATTCCAAAGCTTGTGCCCTTTATCACCATGTTATATTGCCTTGCTGTAAGGGTGTGGCTCCTTTCGTTCCTTAAGCTTACATGCATGAATCAGTACTGCCTTTGACTTCTCTTTGAGACTCTGCTCTCCCTGAGCCTCAATGATATAATGTATTTTGCCCTTACTTCTTATATACACTATGTCAAATACTGAGCTAGTGGCTTCACATGCAATAACATATCATGCAATTCTTCTACTCCCTGTGTATTGACAGGCAATATTCCTTTCTGTATTTTGCAGATGAGAAAACTGAAGTTCAGAGAGGCTGTATACTTTTATCATGACCACAAAGTGGTTAAATGGCAAAGCTAGCAATCAAACTCAGGTCTGACTCCCAAATCCATGGTCTTAATTATTTTCTACATTTCCTTGCAGTGCACCCTTGTGGGCACACTCAAATTTTTCTTTACTAAAAACTCCTTATTTGGAAAATAAGGAAAGTTGAGCTTAGAGAAGTTTAGTAACTTGCCTAAGGTCACAGAGCATAGGAATTAGCATTTCTGCTTTCCTGGTCCATTGCTTTTGCCACTCTATACTACATTGCCTCCATTAATTGTTCCTAATAACAGGAAGCTTTAAGTTTTCATATTATTTTAAGTTTTGAATTATTCTTTTAGCATTTTCTGGATTCCAATGCTTTAAAGAATACTGTTATAGGAGCTAACAATATGCTGTCTGTCCTTGTCATAAGATTACACTGCTGAGGGACATTGACCTTGAGTACCAGCTGGTAGAGTGCCAGGGGTAGAGGTAGTGGAGGGGGAAGGGGAGAAGGATTTCCGTTGAGTGTGCCATACTTTGCCCAAGTCTCCATGGTTTATAATGAGCTGGCTAGGGTTGGCGTAGGGAGTGGATGCAGAGAGTTGTTGGCTAGCTCCACTCTGTTCTCTTCTGGCCTTTATTCTTCTCACTATTTCCTGAATCTTCAAAATGCACAGGGACCAAGCTGCCTCAAGCTGCACACAGAAACCTGGCTGCAGTGATGTTCTCTGCCCCAATCCAGGTGCTTTCTTACCTACACCAGCCTGAGAAATCCTCAAGAAGCCATCTTGTCCTCTCCTTCTTTGTGGCAAGGACTTCTCAGGTGATAAGGACATGTTTGTATATTCATCTTCTTTTCTAGAATGTGCCCCAGCTCTTTCCCAGCCAGGAAGATCTTATTGACACATCCCTGGGTCCTTGCCTAGTTTTCGGGACCATCACTATACCCACTTATTGTATTTCCTCAGGACTCTCTCCTCTTCCTCTTCCTCCTCTCTCTAAGCAACTTTAATTGCCACAACTTCATTTAGCCTCTGTGGCTGAGGACACCCATATCTTTTGATCTCTGCTCAGATCTCTCTTCTCAGCTCCACTTGCTACAATTCCAGCTCTCTCCTGGACACTGGCACTTGAGCTTTCCATCAGATGTGGAGATGCAACAGGCTCAAACTCATTAATTCTCCTGTCAGTGGCCTTTTTAATGCCCTGGCATTGGCTGCTGCCTCCAATGCCATTAGAGCTGCTTTGACTGCCTCCTTCTCCACAGCTACTCAGCACCCAGTCTGATACATTCTCCCCCTGCACCGTCCATCGTCCATCTTTAAGTTTTCACAGTACCTTAAGTTTTGAATTATTCTTTCAGTATTTTCTAGATTCCAACATTTTAAAGGATCCTGCCATAGCAGGTAGCAATGAGTTATCTATTCTTGTCATAAGAAGATGACACTGGTGAGGGACACTGGCCTTGAGTTGTTTCTCTGGAGTGAAGGTTTCAGGTCGTGGGGGAGGATTTCTACTTTTCCTAGCCCAAGGTCCTGCTCTAGTTCATGGTTTTTTTCTACTTCCCTAGATTATTGCTATGGTTTCCTAACTGGTCTTCCTACTTCCTGTAGGCTTCCAACTTCAACACAGCTCTTCTCATTTTTGTTCCTACACAAACCCCTGCTATGTTTATCACGTTTACATGAAACCAAACCCCTCAGCCTGGCATTCAGGTCTCTCCATGACTTGGCCTTAAACTACCCTTTTAGTCTATTCCCCACCAGCCTTTCATGGGTGCGCTCAATTCCAGGCACTGCGGCCAAATCTGATCCATGACTTGGCTCAGGCTGTTTTCTTGGCTGTTAATGCTTTTTTTCTCTTCTATTCAAGTTTAAATCTTCTCCATCAAGAGGGTTCCACAGATCAGAGGCCACAAACCTTGCAGTAGCTTTGGATGGGCCTCACGTTCAAGTCCAAACTCCTTATTATGGGTCTATAAGACCTCTTCTGAGCTAGTTCCCACCTACTTCTCAAGCCCCATCTTATACCAAAAACCCATCTCCCCTGCCCTCTCACACTCTCTGTTTCAGAAAACTTAGCCTTATTTCAGGCTCTTGAATACATAATGCTTTCATTCAATTCCTCCTCTTCGTTCTTCAAAAACACCACATATGTTTGTCTCTATTGCCTGGAAAGTTCTTCCCACAAATATTTACCTGGTTAATTCCCCTTCCACCTTATACAAATAACTTCATTCTTCTGAACCTCAGGGTACTCGTCTCCAATGTACGGACAATGATAACATAGTGGCAGCAATTCAGACTGTAGGTATTAAAGCAAATTGCCTAGATTCAAATCCTACCTTTGTCACTTACTAGCTGTGTAACTTTGTACAAGTTGCTTCACCTCTCAGTGCCTTACTTTCTTACTCTGTAAAACAGAACCTTAGTTGTAAGGCTATTGGGAGGATTACAAGAGATGATGCATGTAAAATACTGCAGAACAGTGTTGGAGCACACAGTATGTGTTTAATAAATATTAGCTACAACTATTACTACAATTGCTCATTCTTCAACTTAAAAGTTATTTCATATGGAAGCCTTCCCCAACATTCAAAACTAGGCGAGGTTTTCTCTGCTATAAATTCCCGGAGCATCCTCCTCTTCTTCTTGGTGACAATAATCACATTTGTTATTACCTTTTCAAAGCTTAACATTCCAATTGACTGAAGGCTTTCTGTGGGCCAGGATACATCTACTTTGTTTATCTTTGTATCCCCAATACCGAACACAGTGCCTGAAACATACTTGGCACTGAACAAATTAGTTCATGAAAGAATGACAAATCAGTACTTCTTTTTCTGATTCTCACCATCCAGAAGAGATGTATTTCATTGTAGAACTTACAAGCATTAAGTATATCATACAGCACATTCTAATATGTATTACTGTTATAAGTGTTACATCTTTTCCTTCCTTCTAGCTTGTAAGTCCTTTAAGGCAGGAGGACTGTTCTTCCTTTTGTTCTCTCCCATTGCTCCTAGCATAGGACCTTACAAGCAGCAAGATTCAATGTGTTTCAAGAATAAATGGCAGCTTAGAAGGATGAAAAGAAGGCTGGTTGGGTGGATAAGACTGCAAACAACCCTGCTTTTCAACTTGGAGTTATCCATAGGTTAAGTCTTGGCCAGATTGTATGTGGGGAGGCTGAGGGAAGAACCAAGTCATATTAGAGGGAATACCATAGAGTGCCTGCCAGCCAAGCAGGTCCAACTAAATGTGTTGCCAAGGTCAGACAGTCCTGAAATTTCAGAGCTGGAGAGTAGCCACAGGGCTAGCAGGAGCAAGGAATAGCAAGAATAGATGGGAAAGTGGGAAAACAGTTTGGGAAAATATTGGCAACCTATGTCTGGTCTTTGACAAGGTCCATGCAGCATTTTGTGAGTGGGCTGAGTCTGTCCAAAGAGAATGGGTCTGTCCAAAAGGAATATTGTATAGACTGAACAGACAATGGGATATTCAGAAACTGAACAAAAGGGATCTGCCCTTTACAATATGGTCCAACTTGAACATCCAGCTTCGCTTCTCAAGACTGAATCAATATCCATCATTCGTTTCCTTCACCTAGTCTTTCATTCAACCTATTCTTTTCCAGGCTCCTCTCCTTGCTGCCCCTTGAAGGTATGGCTCTAACTTCCATCTCCAAGCCCTTGCTTTTGCTGCTCCCACTGCCAAAAATATTTTGCCTTCTCTCTTCTTTCTATTTAAATTCTAATATTCTTCCAGGTTCACTCAAGCCTCTATGTCTCACAGAAGAAATTCTTAGTTTTGTTCCTCTAGTGTTCTGTATTCACCTCAGGTCTTTGGCTATGTTGTGCTGCTTCTTCCCTCTCATGACTGCATGTTGCATCTCCTCAGCTTTATTGTTTTTTTTTTTTTTCCATAGGGCAGACCTTGTCACTTCAGAGCATAGTTCAACGTTCAATATGGTTGTTGAGTAGACTCATGAAATGAATGCATTAAGAGGCCTGGGGCACTAAGGAGAGGAGAGTGAAGTAACTCAACTTTTATCACGAAATCCTGAAGAAGACACCTGACAGTTGACGATTGCAGTCTCATAACCAAGTGGCACAACATAACTGTGAGGTTTTGCTTTTAACAACCTATCAAAACTTGACTTATTTCAGTTTCAGAACAATGTAGAGCATACAGTTCATCAATTGTGCACTTGAACTTACATTGGAGGTTAGAATGTGTGGTTCAGAAGACCACTACTTTGACATTCTTTAGATAGCAAAATTAAGTGCTATCAG